GCTAACATCCCTGATTGCTCCCATGCCTGCGAGAGCATTTGGGGACCTAGTAGGAGTAGAGTAGAGCAGAACCCGTGAGGAGGAGCACAGAGCATGATCCGTTATGCTAATGATTGGTGACAGTATCTCAACAGACATGGTTCCATCCGTCAAAAAATTGTCCGTACTATCCGGTGCCTTAAAGTATCTAAAAGCGACCGAAAACCGCAGGAGGAAGCGCGGACGCGTGGCGAACTGGTTAGTCGATCCCCAGACACCTGTCACTGTTGGGGCTCTCCGGTTGGGGGTATGTGGCTTTATGAAACCTTTTGGGGGGCTTTAGGGTTCTAGACGCGGCCTGATCGGGGTTCGTTTGGGTTCTATAGTACAAGGCTATCAGGGTTCTTTTCCAGGCGTTTAGGAGTTTGGGGCTTCTGGGGCTTAGGCTTCAAAAGGTTCCGGGGAAGGGGCAGTCAAAGTTTGATGTACGGGAGCTCAGGGTTGGAATACTCGACTACAGAGATTGGTTGAAACTGTGGGAATCTCGTTGTCCCCATACCCGGCCATACCCTAAAGCGAAGAATGGGGTATACCGGCACTAATCCATTTTCTCGGGGGAGCCGCGGAACTGAGACCCTAACCCCTGGGCCATGACCCTGTCGTGTCTATGCTTCTTACGAATTGGGGTCCTGTAGGGTACCTTGCTTCTGGGGCTTTTGAGCGGCAAAGGGCGAAAGGTGTAAGAGCCGTGCGAAGCCGAGCGTCCTTGCGTTCGCCAAGTTACTTGCAAGTCCGAGTCGTGAGAGCGTAATATAGGGGCCTTAATAATTGCCCATATGATTATAAAGGCCCTTAAACCCCCTATAGAGCCCTTATAGAATTATAGAACCCTCAAAAGACCCTTTGAAAGGAATCTCACCATAAAGGCCCCTATAACCCTTAAACCCTAAGCCCTTAAGCCCTTAAACCCTTAACCCTAAACCCCTAAATCCCTAAACCCCAAACCCCAAACCGAGGCAGGTCTGGCTCGGAACCTTCAGCCCCTCCTCGATCGACTCACGGGCTCTGATGGCTTCGTTGCGAAGACGTACCAGCGATGAGCACAAAACTGTGTAATATAGGGGCCTTAATCATTAGCTGTGTTGCAATCTCTGGGGGTTCGTTATTGATTGAGAAATATAGTATAATAAGCCCCAAAACCCTATTCTACTTATGAAGGCCCCTGTGTGTGTGTGTGTGTGTGTGTGTGTGTGTGTGTGTGCGTGTGTGTGTGTGTACATATTCACAGACACATACTTATTCGTTTACGAACAAACACACATGTTTCAACACAAATACATACATAGGTATCTACATATGCATTTTTCAGTATAAGCCAGTGTGCAGTATATATATATATATATATACATGTACACACACACACATATATATATATATATATACATATACATATACATATATGCATTTATACACAATATATACATATACATATACACATACATACACATGTTTATGTACTGTATTAGTCGTTTAGTTATGAAGCTGTATATGCTTCGGCATATGTACATGTTGTTGCTCATGTCTAGGTATGCATGCATGCATGTATGTCTGCACACAGTGCGGTCAGTCATATGGTCAAACTCAACTTCATGAACTCTGCAGTCTTGAGCAATACACTACACCCTCGAGCCCCGAACTTACGCGTCCATCCGGCATCTATCCTGCAGTGCTGAATTTCCACCCCTAGTCGCACATAGACAATAGGATGTGTGTTTGTGTTTTGCAGTTTGGTGTTCGACACGTTCCTCTTTGTCTGCAATTCAACTGTGTTTCAATCTTCAAGGGTCAAGCCCGTGGCCCAAAGACCGAGTAGCAGAGTGAAGGAGCCCGGAAACTCCCAAGCAAAACCAAGCACTTAAACCCTTTTGCCCAGATCGCACATCCTTCCAAAAACTGTCTGAGGATCTCTACCCTCAAACCTAAACCCTAAACCCTAGCTGGGCGTGTGGCAAAAAAGCCCTAAACCCTAATTAGATCGTGTCCTGGCCTTTCGCTGGAGCACGTTCCTTGCTGGCAGATCGCTGGCCGAAGGCCGGAACGCCTACAGCCTGTTAAAACTACATATGGGTGGTTGTCAATATTAGGGTCCCTTTTTGGGTCCTTATTGTAATGCGGCACCTAATATTTAGGGTACCAAAAAAGGACCATAATTTTGACGACCACCCAGATGTATAGTAAAGTGTTTGTGGTATACATACAAACATACGGACGTACATACTTACACACGTATATACTCCCAGACATATACATGTACATACGTATATAAACATACATATATATATATATACATACATAAGTTCATACGCTTGTTTGTTTGGTGCGTGTTGTGTTTACGTACGTACATCCATGTTTATGTCTATGTCCGTTTCCGTTTTTTCAGGAGACGTAAGGATTTGCTACTCGGACCGGTACTTGAAAGTCGAGGGTGAAGACATTCCCATGTTGGAGTTATGAACGCAGTGCCTGAAAACAGCAGATGATTTTTCCTCGCTATACTTCGGATACCCACGAGACATTAGGGCTCATGTGTTTAGTCTCGTGGTTTTAGCCGCGCCCCTACACCCGTGTCCACGATAAGCCTCAAGAACTTGCGCAAGTACAGGCAGCAGGGGTGCAGGTCATCCACACGGGTCAGGGGTTTTGGCTCGGCCTCAACCAAAACCGACATTCTGACAGGGTTTCGTTCATCGCGATTTCGTTTGTTCATGTTTGTTCCTTCCATATTTGACACACTCGGAATTGCCGGACCTGGGGCGTTTCTGAGCTAGGGTTCTAACCTTTACTGTGCAGGAAAGGGCTTACTGTAGCACGATTGGAGAAGTGTGTTACAAGTAGTCGGGTTCAGTACTGCAAGTCTCAGACTCAACAAACCATTTCAATTCGAGCCGATATGTGCCTGTCGTGTTTCAGCATCTTCCTACAGATTGGTCACAGGATCTCGGTGGATTTGTTGTGGTCGCCTAGGGTACATGAGAAGGCTGGCAGACCGTCCGGCTGTTGAGGGTTTTTAGGGTTTAGGGAATTTTAGGGTTCGTTGGTTGAAACTAAGAGCCTAGCTGCAAAAGGGTTTTAACATTTTTTGGTTTAGGGTTTCAGGGCTTAGTGCATTGCAGTCTCTGGTTTTAGGATGTTTTCGGGCTGAGGGGAGGTAGTTGTTTTCTATGTCAAGCTTACCTCGGACAAGCATCTTTCCATTGCAGAAGTCAAGTCTTCGTCTCCGGGTTTGCAGGCTGACGTGACACCAACGATGTAGACGTCGATGGTTCAACTACCGAGAGGCTTCGGGGCAGCTTCATGGACCTACATGGACGGACTTCCGCTAAATGCCGGTAATGCCCGTTCCAAGAAAGCCTTCAGGCAGGGTAAGTGCCAGCATGTGCAAGCTCAGGCCCACGTTGTGGCCAAGTTTTCGCATGCTAGCTGGAGCAAGGAACGCCGCCGTTGCTGGCCTAGGAGCTTGTGCGCTGATTCCTCTAAATCTAAGCTCGACGTCCTAATCGGAACTGCAGACTCACTAGACGCGACACTTTCGCAGATGCTTGAAAAGCAGTCCTGCAAAAGCTGCACTTAACCGAGACGGCTCACAGCGATGGCCTACAATCCCCGCAACTTCGGGTCGAAAGCACACCACGCTAATTGTCCAAATGCCTTCACTGTGCAGGCCACGGACTTCTTCCTTGCTGCTCTGGTGGACTTCGGTTTCCTGGTAGCATGCCGCCCGGGACCTTTTCAAGTCTGTTTGCAGCTTGACATCAGCTTTGGTGCAGAGCTCTCCGTGGCAAACTTTTCCTGTAATGCTGGTGCATAAACCTAAGAAATCCAGACAAATTCTGCCAAGTTGCCCGGCAAATTAGTTTGAACATCGCTGATGCAGTGTTGTGCTCGACAAAGGTGAGAAAACGCTCCGGTTTGCAGCCGAGACAGCTGCGGCACGCGAGGCCAGATGTTGCCCCCCAAGACGCCATCTATCCTGAGTGCAGACAGCACGGTGCTCAGGGTGCCGGGCATGCAGGCATGCCTACTAGCCTTTGCCTGTAACTTTGGACCTACAGCCACTCTTTCTCTGTTCTACGCCGCCAGCTTGCGAACATTGTGCTTTTTGCAAGTCGTGCTGGTGTCGGAGTAGAAACTATCTGCTCTTCCCTGCTGAGACTACGTGAGTTGCACGCAGAAACTCTCAGCAGCGCGTGATGCGCGTGGGCCTGTGGCGCCTGCTTGGCAGGAGTGGCTCGAGAAAATCGCGATCGGCGAAGTCTAGATCCAGGAAAGGAGGCGCGGAGTTCCACCGCTTTCCGACATGCATCGGCTCACACAGAACATCACAGAACAACTTAAATTCAGCGACACACAAACAACCACTGTCCCCAAACTCTATGGTGGGACTTACACCTCCAAAATCTGACCGCTCTTCGAGTTCGAGACCTGCCTACCAACGTGCAGAGCTCAGCGTTTTCGAGCTGAGGCCTTCGAGTCAAGTTGCTGATGCCCCCAAAAGTGCTCGTCTCATCGCAGAACACCCGCACGGGTCCCTCGTCGTTTACGCCGGGCCGGGGTGAGCTTACGTCTTACGTGCTTGGATGTTTGGGAGTGGGTACCGAAGTGTGGAAGGCCTTTTGCGCAAAACTCCTAGCTAGATGCGCGGCTGCAAGGATTCGTCGTAAACAGCTCAAGCGGATGGCTTGATCTTCAGCCTGGGTAATATCCTAATCTGGATCTCGCTTCCTTTCGAAGCTCCGGGGATTCATCAGCCTTCGTAGCCGGTCTTCCAAGTGCAGGAGTCGGCGGCCCGAGGAAGGCAGAGCTTTCGATGTCCTGGACGAGCCTGCTCTCATCTGCGATGAGCTTTCATGGGCTTGAGTATCAGTATTTCTTTGCCGCAGCAAACGTGAGTTCAGAGGATCAGCTCGGCTGAAGCCGGCTGATACCGTTGATCTTTCGCCCTTTCACATCGCCCCGTTGCCATGACCAACCTCGCCTTGACCGGGCTTTTGGTCCTCCTTTGGACCGCAGAAGCCTCGTCAAATCCGGGCATCTTCGACGATCGCAATCGTTCACGCCCGCCTTCAATTCGTGGGGCGGGGGGGGCGCCAGGCGGTCTGAAGCTGGGACGGACTTCATCATGGTTTGTGTCCGTAGGCTCACCCTTGCCCGAAGCAGTCACAGTGCATGATGCCGAGGGTTCAAGAGCTGGTGTGTGTGTGTGTGTGTGTGCTCAGGAAGACATGGCAGAAAGAGGCCGAGCAAGTTCAGGATGTCCAGAACCCTCCGTCTGCGCCTGCCCGTCGCTTGTCGCGAAGCCGGACCAGCGTGCCTCTCACCTCCACATCTTCATCATCGCCAGACGAGGAGGGGCAACCTGGATTGTGTCGCGCATGGCGGTGAAAGCCAGTTTGATTGTACCAGGACTGCCCGCTGAGAGACGTCGTTGGGAGATGCTCCTCCAGAAGGAAAGACTTCACGACATTCGGGCACATGATGAGAGGCAGCAGGGACCTCACCCGCGAGGACCTTCATTGAGCCATTATGCTGTTTGTTCATGTTTCACGTGGCCCGCGATCATGTGCTAGGAGCGGTTGGCGGCGGGCAAAACGGTTGCCGACACCTTTACCGGAGCCACAACCAATGTTCTCGCCGTTTCTGATAGGCTATCACCCTACATGGGTCTGGTTGGTTTTGTCGCTGGCATTGTGCTGGACGAGTTCATGCCCGATCCAGACTACGTGACCAGGGATGACGTACTGGACATGCTGGACGATTTCGGAGAGGAGTTGAAGCAAGAGATGAGGACGGAGATGAAGGCTCTGGTCTCAGCTTCCATTGACGCGAACTCGTTCCAAGAAGTCAAGATCAGAGTCCGGAAGTTCATCGCAGATGTGATCCTCCAGCAGGCTGGCAATGCGCTTGATGGCGATGCTTTTGTTTCGTATTGTTTGAACTTCGAGCCGGAACTCGCGTCATTGGCACAGCTTCTGTTTCTGCCCTGCACAGAGCATGGCTGGGGCTCCATGGACTGCCACACCCGGCTCACAGCGGGTGCCCCGGTGATCCTGAGCAACCTGGTGCCCATCCACTTCGCTATCCTGGATGCAGTTCTGCAAGCAGCGAAAGACAAGCTCGTGCTGGCCAAGCAGCAGATCTTGGACGACAACATCGCTGCATGGTCTGCTCTCGCGAATTCTACCTTGGGATACAACTTCCGTCGCATAGGATGTCCGAATTCCCAACCTTCCGACACCGCCAAGGAGGACATGAAGAGCAGGGCCAGTGATGGGAACCCGCTCCTCTCCGTAATGCAACCTGACGTGAATCGTCGTTCACCTCCCCCCCTCGCTTGACATGTGGCATCTTGGCCTGGCAACCAAGGTCCGGCTATTGTGAAGACACGGCCTCTCAGCGTGAAAAGCAGTAGCCTGCCACAGAATTCATACTCTCAGATTGATGATGGAGAGTGCCAGCTTCGCTTCCAAGCTTCAGGCCAGCCTCTATGCAGATTCCGCGACTGCTCCCACAGGCGATGCCACGACATGTGACGTGCAGAGTGGGGTTGGGCCCGGCTGGAAGCTCGTGCGACGAACCGTCGGCAGCTCCTTCCCGCAGACAGATCAGTTGGAAGGGACAGTGACAGAAGGCACAGCAGGCGGTCCGCTGGGGCCAGCCTTCAGCAAAAGCTGGTCTTCTGACCCGCTGCTGAGCGACTTCGACGAGTTTCTGTTTGCGACCGGCGATTGCAAGAAGTTTATGATTATGGACAGGCTGGGCCGGTGTTCGCTTTGCAGGAGGCTGTAGATTAGTAGAGGGACGCGGGAAAACCTGAGTCGCCGAGCCCGAAAGCAGACGCACGACATGTAATCATTCGCATCACATACGACGATATGCAGAACACGACTTGAAGACAATGCAATCTCTATTTTCTATACTCTCCACTCTCCATTCCATCCACTCCCCGTTTCCACATCACTTTCTTCTCCACACTATGCTCTCCATACTCCACTCCACCATCCACTCTACTTTCTTCGCCGCTCTCCACCCGACGACGCAAACGCCCGGGTAAAACAGCGACGCCAGCTACGAGGATGGGGACCGGGGATTGGGTCCAGCCAGGGCCACAAACGATTCGGAAACGCTTGCGAACTCAACTGCATCGCTTTTTGTTCACGTCCTGGACCCCTGGACCCCAACACTTCAAGCGAGAAGCGAAGCCTTCTGCGGAGCATTCGGAACGTGAAAGTCGACCCCGTCAGGAACCAAGTGCTTGACACCTACTCCGGGGAAGATCGGGAGATTCTGAGATCTCATAGTTCATGGACGCAGTACAAGGCAAGTCGAGCTGGTCATCAGAAGATGTTCGTGATACTCGGACTGAGCTGTACAAAGGCCAAGATGTACCGGCGTGTGGGCGAAACAGAGGACCCCTGGATCACATTCGAGGCGCCGGGCCGGCTGCATGCGCAGAATGTTGACTCCCTCCTCTGTCGTTGTGCTTATAAGGACCACTTCGACGAAAATAATGTCGGTGGATGCACGAGCCTTTACGTTGGGCGCCTTGGCTCAGACTTATATCTCTTTGTGGAGCGCTTGTGTGTGTGTGTGTGGGGATGCGTTTCTTAGGGACTCCTACGTGCACCCGACCGCGTGCAAGCCCCTCCACTGGGATCACAAGGGCTTCTTTGTCATTGTTGGGTAACATTTTACATTTTTATGGGTACTTAAACCCAATAAGGAATAAAAATGTACATTTTTAATTCTATCCCAACAATGAACTAGGCTTGAACGTGTTTGTCCGAAATCGCAGCCGGGCGCCTTGGGCTCCACCAGATCTTGGGACGGACGGTTGGTGCAATGGCTCCCCTGCCACTAGTTACAGAGGGCCCGAAATAATAGTAGTAGCAATAGTCGTATACGTAAACAATTAAATATAAATAATGGTAATATTAATTGATTATAAGTATTCTGGTTTCAGTATAATACCAATAAAGATATTCAGTAATAGTACCGGGAGTAGAAATAGTCATTGCAGTAGCAATACTTGTAAACATAACAAAAGTAGCGATTATCAATAAACACATTTTGAAGTCTCCAGGCGGCGAGAGAGTGCTGCGGCGGAGGCAGGGCCTCGTGCCAGGTTCAATGCAAGCCCGCGCCGAACAGCGATATCACCTTGGAGCTCTATGACACCATGAAGCCGCTTTGCCCGCAGCATTTCAACAGCATGTTGCTCATGAAGGCACTTTGGCAGCAGACTTTCAGAACGTGTGCTGCTGTTGTTTCTTGGAAGCTGAGGCGCAGGTATGACAAGGCACTGGCCACTTACCGCAGTTTGTATTACAAAAGTCGAGATGCTTACCTCTCCCTGCGCATCGAGATGTTTGCTTGCAATGACGATGGCTGCTGGGACACAGGACGGCCCGGCGCCAGCGACATTCCCGGCGACGTCGTGGAGGGCAAAAACGAGATCTACAAGAACGCAATGAGTCTCTTCGCTACCACGGAAGCGCTACTCTCCAGCCGACAGGGCTACCATGCAACCCCGAAAGCCAAAGCAGATGGCAGCTGGCAAGTGGAGAGGAAGTTCCCGTCTGAGTTCAAATACGCTCGCGTCATAGGATTCAACAACGAAAGAGATCGACGAGCGACGAAGCTCGGGATTGAGAAGGAAAACGCGCCGGGAGATTGGCAGACGAGCGAGGAGCCTCCGCGGGACCTAGGAATCAATGTGGCCTCTGCCGGAAGCCTTTCAACCGACTTTTCTGCACCAGCATCCTGGACTTTTTCTCTCAGGCCTGCGGACAACGGCATGGAGCTGCTGGTGAAAAACGCGTGGGAGGAAGCGGAGGACAACAAGGTCACGGTCAAAACCGTCTGCCCTTGGCGTTGCAGTCCATTCACAAGCTGTCGTGCTGACTGTTCAGACCCCACGGTGACATGCAAATGCGTGGGCATTTATTCGTTCTTGGACTGCAGTGGCGCCACCCTAAAAGAGGACACGGATGATTGCACCTTCGAAAGTACTTACCACACTACCTTCGACAGCATGCTTGTCGAGGTCCAGGAGAAGTCTTTTCAAGAACAGCGGAATATGTTGGACTGGCCAGCTTCAGGCATTGAAAGCCAGGATGGCCCCCTTAAGTATTCTGGTGGCTGTGAAGTGCAGAGTGATGGTCGCGACAGTGTCATGAAGTGTTCCGGAGGGCAAATCGGCGGCGAACTTATCAACCCGTCAGATGCGTTGCTTTGTCACTGTTGGGTAACGTTTTACATTTTTATGGGTACTTAAACCCAATAAGGAATAAAAATGTACATTTTTAATTCTATCCCAACAATGAACTAGGTTGATGGGTTTGGCTCATGGCCCCAGCCTTCGAGTTTGAGCTCCACTTTCACATGCTGCTTGACCGGGTGGACAGCGCCACTTGGCCAGGCAGTGTACCGCCCGTCCTCCCTTAAAGCAGGTCCTTTCTGAAAAATGTTCGAGCACCTGCTCGAGATATTCCGTGTAGGTTATTGAGCCCCCTGTTGCAGCCCAGGTGGAGAGGCAACCGGACGAAGTGGGTTAATCCTTGTTGAGGAATGCAAAACTTTACGATTCGCTGAACTGAGCCTTTAGTTGGAACCTTGCAGCAATCAAGATCCACGTATGGAACTGCCAGGGCAATCGGCGAATATTTTGGTTCTCCAGCATCAGCATTCTTTTTCTTAGCGCATCAGTCAATCTGCCTGATTCTTTGGATGAGCATATGACAATCCCACTAGGGTAGCATGAAAAAGATATTGTAGAACAGGATAGAGGTGTTCCTTCAGCGTAGCACTGAGCTGCCGAGCACCAGCACAGCCAACCAGGCAAAAGATATTACAACAATGTTGATATGAAAGTTTTTTTTAATTTTCCGAAATTGAACGATGGTAGCCAGATGTTGTCGCGTAACATCCCTCGCCACTCCTCCACACTTAGTTTGGGACTCGAATCCGCATCTTCGGAGACGTGGGTATATAACTATTATGTGTGGGCAGCGGTTGCATGATATGGCAAGCCCGCAGACTCGTCAATGATTTGAAGTACTCCGCCCCTGTGAGTTCCTCTTGTTGGCAAGTAAGGCAAACCCGAGCTATGCCGCGATCGAGTTCTTGTGGGAGCAGGCCAATGGTTGGGGCAAGACCCTTCGCCTCGTTTTGGATGCTGCCGGAGCCAAGCTGGCACAGGACGGCCAAGGGAATTCTTAAGCTCAGGGATGCGCTGCGATATGCTGGGCTGAACAAGATTTGGACCAGTAGGAATTAGCAGACTCTCGAGACCCGTCGGGCCAGATGTGTACGGATACCTTGTAGATTGCTATGATTTATCGTGGTGGATTATACACAGGGCTTGTTCGGGCCCCCCTCATCGTTTGGGCCTTTCAGCCGCAACTTTCGATTCAAGCCAGTTCTCTTGCGACTAATTTCCGCTGTGTGCTCAGCATAGTTACCCTGCATGGTTGGCGGGAGGTACTGCGCTTGAATGTTCGACAAGGAGTCACATTCACACCAAGAGCAGAAATCACTTCCGACACTGGGGTTGTGATCCTGGCCCTTCAGGGTTTTAGGGTTCTGCAAGTCCTCAGCTTATTATGTTACGTAGCTCAAGTTGTGTTAATTTGTGAGCCTTACACGAAAGTGAGCACGGGAGGGGCAGGGGGGGGGGGCTCTGAAAGCTGAAGAAGAGAAAAGAGAGCTGCTTGTGCCCTCACCTGGAGTTGAATCTTCCCTTGCTCAACTCATACGATGTACTTCGTAGAGAGATCATGACTCTGATTTTGGCATTGGCCGAGAATCGCAGAGCCCTTTCAACTCATGGTGGATTTCGCTAAGGGTGGAGGAAAGGGTAGACTAAAAGATGTACCATCAGAGGTGCCAGCGAAACCCGGGTTTGCAACAGCAGCATGGCTAGTCGCGGTAGTGGATCGGTTGTTGCTTGCGGCGGTAACCCGAAGACACCAGCGACCGCAAGTAAGTCGGGTAAATGTCACAGTTTCATGATGTGCCTTGACCAACACGTGCAAATGAGGTAACAGCATCCTCTTCCCATAAGCATCGCAGCGACAATGAACGCACACTCTGTGCCACCCATCATTAAGATATAGTTTGTCATATATAAACTAAGCGGTTAAGCGACAAGTTAGTCAGCCACACGGGATTGCAGCTCGTATTCCGGCTTGCGCTAGGAGTTCAACAGCGACATCATCACCGAGTTCGCGCCTGAGCCTGGCGGCCGTCAACAACTCATATCATGGCTATATACATGTGATGGACAATTGGGCGAGTGATGTCGTGTTTTGTTCCGCGCTCTCTTGCAGCGCGTGTGAGGGTAGTTGAGGGCAGGGGTTCTGTGCTTGTGGTGGCCGATCAGGTAGCTGTGGTATGCTGTGGTATTACTTGCAACGGGTGGAGAAATGGGGAGTTGGCCTGGGAACACCCATGCCAATCCGGTTTGGCAGGTCCGATTGGGTGGTTCGCAAGGTTTCCCATGTCGGACCGTGCTCTCGGAATAACGCCGAGGATGCCACGCGTCGTTCACCCCTCTGCGGCAGGGTCCAAACGGGTCGGGCCGCCCTTTTCGGACCCTGTTCCCAAAGACAACCCTAGACAACTCGAGGATATGGGTTTGACTTAGTAGCTGAGTGAGCACACTTTGCACTTTCTGGGATAGTGTGATCTCTTATAGAACTGGAAGTATACACTTTTTGGGGCTTATCAACTCAGCAACTAGGTTGAATTACTACATGGTAGCACGATGCTGCGATCCGCAGCCAGCGCGGACACACAAGGAGCATGGCTTTGTGGTTGGAAGAGGCAAAAATCTCCTTTACATGCGAGCTGGAGATGGACTGTTTCTTCGGATCAGCTTCAGGGTAAAACGCTAGGCGCTGGAATCACTTGTGTGTAACCATGCACATGTCTATGCCTTCGTGGGCCATAGTTTCCACCAGCATATGATACTGTAGTGGATTACAGGTGATGATATCTCCGCCCTCTTGCGGTCAGGGTAGACTTGGACGCAAACGAGACCCTTGGCAGGTACCACCCCCACTTCTACAACGGCATCATTGGGCCTTCCCCAGTGCAAGCTCGGAAGTGGCACAGCTATCTTGTGAGGAGGCCCGCGAGCTCGGAAGGGGTTAGCTACAGCGCGGCGCAATGCGCCCTGGTGTTTGTTCGGGACCCGAGCACATGGAGAGGATATGCAGACGTCAACCGCTGAGTAAGCCAGCATGCAAAGCTGTTGTGCTACTGTGTACATATTTCGACGATATACACACATGTAGACGTGTACTGTTGTACTGTGCGCATATGCATTTCGTTTGAATCTATTCATATATATATATATATGCATATTTATATGTGTATATAGATCCAGATGTATATAGGTTTGTAAATGTCTTTGCGTATCTACATTATATTCATGCAAGTTTTCTCGTAGCATGGGCAAATGTGCCCACACCTGCATGTGCATTCCTTCTGAAGCGAGGAAGGCTGGCAAGCTTTGGGTCTTTGTCGACGACCAGTTGGTCTGGGAGCACGTGCCCCCCGGCTCTTTCATGTTCCTTCAAGTTGGTCTCAGGGTGTCCGGCTGTCATTGCTAAAGCATTGGGGTCTTGTGCTGCAGGACTCCGAGGCAGTGGTCGAGCGGTGCGACAGCATCGGGGGCGGCGAATTGGCAATACGCCTCCACCGGCATGGACGACAAGACGACTGCGGTGCAGAGCGTCCAAATCCGTCCGTTCCAACAGGGCCTGATTTGGGGAGTTCAGTTGGAGCAGGAGATGGGCCTCATCAAGGTCCTTTGGATTGAATCCGGCCGCTTCGCTTTCAACATGGACCAGTCCGGCTACTCTGCGGCAGATGGAGTCGTTGTGCGCGACGTCGTTCACTGCAGGTTCAGCGAGGAGGGAATGCTCGAATATACTCCAGGCCCCAAACCTTGGAGACTGATCCTCAACCCAGAGCCTTGCGACACAAGCCGTTCAGGAACGGCATGCGCTGAGGTGAAGCAAGCGAAGTGCCCCATCATCGGCGGTGACAGTCAGTACTTGTTCCTTTCCGAGTGTCCGGAACTGTCGCAGTGTTTGCGTGATGTGATCGATAATGTTGACGGTTTAGGTAACACCGGATGGTGTCTCACTGCGACTGGCGATGTGCACGCCAATACTCAAACTTGGCAAAACTGTGTTGAAACCATCCCAGGATATGAGGAACGGTGCAACCCCTACCGGCCTCCAAGTGCGTTGCTTCAGGGATATGAGCTTGTCATGCTGGAGCCTGATACTCCAAGCCACGCAACCTATGGAAGGTGCCCATGCAAGAAAGAGAACTTGCGTAAGGGCTATGCTATGCTGCTTGGTTTGATTGCGGCTCCTAGTCCCGGAGCCGCGGACTCGAAGATGTCGGAGCTATGCTTAGCTTTTGTACAGCTTACATATACGAACGTTTTCTAAAGGATCTTGAATCCTTTATCTTTATAGTAAAAGCCAGAAAGTTGGAATATCATTATCCTAAACCCTTTATGGTAAATTATAGGGTATCCTACCCTGAAACCATATTCCAACTTTCTGGAGTTCCCTTTATCTCCTTGAAACTGCAGAGGCTGCCCTGCTACTGAAAGTCGCAGGGCTTTTCCCGGTAGCCTCTGGAACTCCAGGAGCAGGCTTTCGTCGGCAGTGCTCAGATCAAAAACATGTGGGAAAGAGATACTATAAGATACTAGAATATCCCTTCATATACTAGGGCATACTATCTAATATATTACTATATATATATATGTATATATATATATATATAGATACGATCATATATCATAGAGACGTTGAGGAGGTCGGCAGCTTATTCGAACTTTCCTTTGCCCTCGAGCTGCAGGTGTGGCGGACTGTGCCAATGGAGCGGAGTTCCTTCGAAGTCGAATGGTTGCCGAGTACGACCTGGTGCTTGCTTCTGGCCACAGTTCGCACCTTGCACCCGCATACGCCTGATAGGGCATCCAGCATGGGAAGGTCCAGTTAGTTGTCCACCTGAAAAACCAGTGTGCTTAAAACGGGAGATCCTGGCTGCGATGACCAGGATTTTGCGCTGTTGTGCAGCCCCTCAACAACTTGAGTTCGTATGCTAGGTACCGGCTAATTACTTGCAACCCTGCTTGCAGGAAGTATTGAAGCTACAGGGTGTCTTTGCTATGTGTCACCCCTGATCCCATTTCCGTAGTCTTTACCCATATCAGTGGGCGAGCACCCCAGAAACAAGCGTGACGAGTGTGACAGCTTGCTACTCTTTCAGGACTGACTGCCTTGCTTACACGCACAAGTTTAACCACGGTAGCCTGTTGGTCGAACAACCTGGTGTCAGTATGTTCAAGTTCTAATCATGTTGCAGGTGAAACTTCCAATCGGCTAAGGCTAAGGCAGAACGGCTTCGTTTCAACTGAATGGACGCAATGCCACCGCATGTAGACGAAAGCCGACGGAATTCGCTATTGAACGCGCCGGATGTTTATGGATATTGCATCGTATACGGCCAGAAATCAACAGACAGAGGCGATCTGTCTCCAGACCAGCCACATGTCCAGGTGCCGTTGTATCGTTTAGGACAGTGCAGGATTTGGGAACTCAGAAGCTGCAAGACAACCGTCGAGGAACCCATGGGCAAGTAGACCGAAAAGACATAGAGAGGGTAACCGTCCCTAAAACCCAAAGTGGCACTTGGACACCTAAATCATAGCTTCCTGAGCCTTTCCGTGCGAAGCTGCACAGCGAGCGAAGTCGGCCGGCCATGAACGTTGAAAAGCCGATGCTCAACCACTTGGTCTGCTGCTAAAATCCGGGAGATTTGGTTTGAGGTGCATAGCTTACTTATCCTAAACAAGCAAACCAAGCAGCATGCGCATGGCACCGTTACTTCGAGCCAGAGCAGCCTCGAGAGCGAGGTGTGGAGCGGAGGTCTCCACGTCTTCGAACTAGCCGCAATAACTATGGTCGACAAGAGCGGTGAGCATGGCCATGAAGTTGAACTGTCGTTAATATTTCAGAACGTCATGCTCATGAACCAGCTGGCCGAAGCAAAAATGGCCATGAGCAGAATACGGGCAACAACTGGCAAGAGCAAGACAAGCCATTGGCCACCCATAATAACCTTGATAGCAACAGCTAGCCGTAGTACCGTATACTCTTGTTTTTGATGCCCGAAGCCCCCCCAAAATATTGAATCCTGAACTTATAAAGAAGACCTACAAAATCCACGATGATGTTTATTGTTATTATGGTCATGACACTGATATCAGACACGATGCTGAGGTGGAACCGCCGGGCGCTGGAGATGGCATCCGCACCTGGCGACTTTGCGAAGGCCCTTGGGTTTCTGAAGAAGAATGTTCAATGGCTTTAGGGTTGAGGTTGGTTCGGAGGCTCCACAGGGCAACAATTTGAGGTGCTATGCTAGGGTTGAGGGTTTAGGCAAGTTTCGGCGGTAAAAGCTTGCGGTTTTCTATACCTGTGTTTGGGTTTCAGGTTTCCCGTTCAGGTTTAGGGATTTGGGCTGCAGCTTAAAGGCTGTCGGGTTTGGGTATTGTCGGCTTTACGAGTTGTGTTTCTTCCGTTGCGTAGTCGATTTCAGCTTTCGGGTTTCGGGGTTCAGGGATTGTAGGGTTGGGGATGGGGGAGGTGCGGTTGCATTGGGGTAGGGTTTAGGGTTTGGGCTGAGGAGCAGGAATGTGGCATTTGGCTTTGGGATGTGAAGACTCCTGGCCGTTTCTTTCCCGCCTCGGCTCCGGTGCTCTCTACAGCTGTTTGCAGCCTTAGCTGTTAGCTTTGCCCTTGAAGTACTTGGATGCACACAAGACTACCTAGCAACCCTTTTCAATGGACATCCCTGCTTAGACTTGACCCGGCCTCATGCCCGGAAATGCGGCCCGAGCATGGAAACAAAAACTGATCACATCGTAGCCCGAATCTAATCACCCGAACAGCCCGCAGTGAAAGACTAGCAGAGATTTAAAATCAAAACAAAAGCTCGACACCGCGTGCAGACCAGACGGGAAACAGCCTTTGGTGGCAGAGTGCCCTTATTGCACTAGCCCGACAGTCAGGGTTAAGCGTTCAGGAGGTGTTACGGTTTGGGCGTGTAGAGCTTTCGTTTGATTGGGATGGAATCGCGAAACTGGCCCCATGGTTTCCTACATGCGTTGTCGACTTAGTGATGGATTGGATCTGGATTCATGCTAGAGCGGGGCAGGAAATACAGATGTTTGCTCATACTGCAAACTGATCTTTGAGGGGCTAAGGAGTCCACTCAACAGAGCGCTTGAGGTGGCTGTGCCAGATGGTTTGGTGGTTTTCCCCCCAATTTCCGCTGGTTCGAGCTGACCAGCCGAAAAGCGGAACCCGACTCGCCTGAAGCTTCAAACTCTCAGCCCGAATGGCGCTGACTAAGGCGTCTGAGAAGCCAACCCCCATAGCTACAATCCACCATTCGCTAGACCTAAGGCCCTTCTATAGGCGCCTTAATTTTTGCCTATACTATTTTGGGGGGTTCCTTATTGTACTTATAACTTATAGTATCATGGGCCCCAAAACCCTATTCGAATTCTTAAGGCCCCTACATCAGGCTCCAAAGTCCTGTAAGCCTCAGGCATTGCTCGGAACAAACGCAGCCTTGCGCTGGACCGGCTTGGGGGGAAACAGGGCCTAGTTTGTGTTTGAGCGCACATCTTATCCGGTTTAGGGTTTAAGGTTTGAGGATTTGCAGGACGGGGGCCTAGACGTTATAATTCTCGTTACCCTACATTCAGGTATGCCTTTCAATTTGCTTGCTAATTCGGGGCTCCTTACCCCTAAACCCTGAACCCTTAAACCTAAAGCCTAAACCCTCAATGTTCTCGTTTGCCGCATCTCAAGACACCCGAACCCCGAACCCTAAACAATATAAGTGGTGCGACATTGTCCAGCTGGGCGGGTGGCAAAAACTAGCCCTATGAATCCGTAAAGCCCTACCGAAATCCTCTACAGCCCTACTCCCTGCTGTCTTCGAAAGGACCTTCGAAGCCCGGAGGGCCGCGCACTCCTTCGACGGCTGATATGCCGGTGCCATAGAGCTGTGTTTGTTGAGGGCTTCGGGGTCCAGCAGCCAGCACACCTTGAAAGGCGGGCGCGAAGTCCCAATCGAAGTATGGGGCCCCATTGGTCAAGAGATATGTGTGAAACCTTCATAACCCAAGGAGGGAAACATTTGAGTTGCACAAAACATGAATTTCTGCATGGCCCCAGAATAAGCGATAGAGGAGCGAAAGAGCGCGAGGGAACAAGACTAGAAACAACAAGAGCGCCAACAGTTTTTTAGACCCTAAGCCCTCCCAAGCACTGCAAGGTCAAGTGGCCCAGCCCTCAGCTTCGGCTTGCAATTTTCGTCTCGGGGATTCACGGTTTTACGATTCCAGGATTTGTGGTTTTGAACTTCTTCAGGGCCTTACAGTAGAAGCCAAAAAGTTGGAAACCCGATAGCCTCAATCCTTAAGAGTCATGTATGGGGAATCCCAGCACTGTTTGACCTTAATCCGGTTTCCAACTTTATGTGGGTTACTGTAGAGTATACTATTCGGGGGAGGCCGGTTAGTAATGTGGCTTGGGATGGAATGGATAAAGCTCTGACAGCAAACCTTGGAAACAGCCCTAAAGCCTGAACCCTCACGTAGTGTCAAAGCCCTTCCGAGCCTTTCGAACCTAAGTCTCTCTACAGACCGCGCCTGGTTGTGCTGAGTGTGAGCGTCAAAAAGAGCTTTTAGCCGCGAGTACAGGGCTTGAAACTTACTACTGATAGTTCTTAAGGATCGATTCCTTTCAGTCTTCTGGTACAGTATACTCCAACAATTCCAACACCTTATTCCAAAGCTCTAGCGACTGCAGGTTGATGTAGTTGTCCCTCCGCAGCTGTACTGCGAGCAAAGGATGTCCTTGTGGAGAACTTCAAGCCAGGCACGCTGGAGAAGTGGGGCATGTCGCCAGAGAGCCTACGCGGCTTGCCAGAGAAGAGAGTGCGACCAAGGTCGGCGTGGTAGGAGAAATGTCAGAGTCTTTTGGATCTGGGCTCATGAATTCGGGGTTCGGGTTGCTCAAAACCTGTTGCCGTCGGCGCGATGGTCATCTTTTGCTCGTGGCATCCGGAAGATTGTGTGGGTTTGTTTCTCAGGCCGATAGGCTTGCGGTTTTCTGGGGGGTTCCTGTTCCTATAACTCCAAGGGTAAAAGGAGGGACCCTTAAGGACCCCTAGGTATATACCCTTAATATAGCTATTGTGTACCCATATAGCCCATTGTAGGGTAGGGATCCCCATTAAGGGTCCCTCCTTTTCCCCTTTGAGTAACCGTAACCCTGCTCCACTACTCGGACGAGCTTCGTGGGCCCTGAACCTGAGGCATGTGCCGCAAATTGAAGCTAATGAACTCGAAGCGCCAGGT